CATTTTTCTGGAGTATGAGTGTCCTTCGACCCCGAGTTCAAACCTGCTTCAAGTCAGAATGGCGATTAAAGCAGTATGCAAATGTTACCCCTTGCCAATATGAATAGTGTGTATCGCTTTTGAGCATGTTACAAATTCTCTGAGGGGTAAATCGGAGGTTATCGCCGAACAACATCGTTTGAACAATCTGCCGTATTTTGTTCTCTTCTGTTGCATAAAATGTGCACTTTCATATACACTTATGTTGCATGCAGTCGTTTATGAATCATACATAGAATATGCTCTTATTTTGCATAGAATATGCTTTCAATGTTGCATAGAATATGCTCTTGTTTTGTGCATAGAACATGCTTTCGATTTCGCATAGAATATGCTTTCATTCATGCACAGAATATGCTTTCAATTTCGCATAGAATATTCTTGTCTCTTAGAACATACGTTCAATTTTGCATAGAATATGCTCCTCCCTCGCATGGAATATATATGGTCATTATATTGCATTGTGAACCAATCAGTCATTCTGTGCATCTATTGCATAATAATCTCACTTCTGTGCATCTATCGCACAATAATCTTACTCAGTACATTTATCACACAATTACTTACTTTGCTTGCACTATTTTGTGCAATTTACACTCGTGCTTTCTTGTGCATCGTACTATCTTGTGCATTTCATTACATGCTCTCATTTTGCATAGAAAATGCTCGTATCTTTTGCATAGAACATGCCCTCATCTTGCATAGAAAATGCTCGTATCTTTTGCATAGAACATGCTCTCATTTTGCATGGAAATTGCTCGTATCTTTTGTATAGAACATGCCTCGCGCTATTTTGCGCACCTTACCTGCGCTTGTTAGTGCATTGCATCGCGCTATTTTGTGCACCTTGCCTGCACTTGTTTGTGCATTGCATTGCGCTATCCTGCGCATTCACCTTACTTGCACTTGTTTGTGCATTGTATTGCACTATCTTGTGCACCCCGCATCGCACTATCTTGTGCATTTCATCTTACAGAGCACTATCTTGTGCATTTCATATCGCACTGTGTTGTGCATCCCGCATCGCACTATCTTGTGCACCCGTCTCACACTGTCTTGTGCACCTTGTATCGTACTGTCTTGTGCATTCACATCTGTTTCGTGCATTCAAACTTGCATCGCACTATTTTGTGCACCCTGTATCACACTATCTTGTGCACTGGCATCGCGCTATCTTATGCCTTCACCCTGTATCGCACTATCTTGTGCACCTGCATCGCGCTATCCTGTGCATTCACCCATATCGCACTATCTTGTACACACCTGCATCACACTATCTTGTGTATTCACTTTCATTCACACTGTCTTGTACACTTTCACTCGTACTGTCTTGTGTACCTGTATAGCACTGTTTTGTGCATTTACGCTCCCTTGCACTGTCCTGTGCATCCTCTCTGGTCTAGGAGACCTTAAATCCTCTAAAGGTGCAATTTCTTTAGTGTTTGTCGTGCCCGAACGACTTCCAGTGGTCTGGTATAGCCACCTGTCTGCGTTTGCGGTGAGTTCCTAGGAGGTCAACTGAGACGATGGAAACTAGAGTTCGAATGGCTGATGCCTAGAGCGCAAAGATTCGGAATTTCTGAGACTAAAGTCTGGTTTAAATACCCAAGGGTGTATCCTCGGCTTGAAATCTGTATGGTAGCCCCATAAGTTGAGGTAGTGTGTATGCGCTTCGATTCTGGATACTGAACTTACCAAGTCTATCACCCTGTTGGAGAATAGGGAAAGCTGCGACCATAGCCAGGGAGAAAAGTAGTACCTATGGTTCAAAAATGCAAGATGCAGAAGATGAAGATCCCCAGTAGCATAAGGCGAGTCATTGCCAATTGCCCCTGTAAGGTACCTTCACTTCCTAGTTACTACATCATCTATTACATCTATTGCATTGCATATAGCATTTATCACATGCATCTACTGCATTATCCATTTTATTGCTTGCATCATTTCCATGTTAAGCTTAGTTTGACATGTGCTCATATATTTCCTTCGTTGAAGCATAGCTCTGCATGTGTACGAGCCTATCCCACTAAGAGAATTGTGGTCTGAGGGTTTCGGCACATTTTCTGTGTTAGACGTGGTCTGTTTTGTGTCTATGCATTTTCTAGGTAAAATGTGGTTTGGCCTGCACCTTATTCACTGCATCCATTGCATCGTATTTTGTTTTGTTGCATTCAGCATTTAGGATCATTATCTTTCCTCAACAGATCATTCCTCACTTATATCATGCCACCCAATTACTTGTACTCTTTCTCTTTTTACGAAAAACATAGTTCTGCATGTGCATGCGCGCATTCGACAAGAATTGTGGTTACAGTGCTCTGGCACCTTTTCTATATAAAACGTAGTTTGATTTACATCGCCAATCCTTTATGGTATTTGTGTGGTTTTGCACTGCTTGTGGTTTGATGATTCAATTACATTGCATATCATGTGCATGGTTTCGTTGCACTGTATATCATTGCATTGTTTTGTTGCATTGTGTATCATTTTGCATTATGCCCCTGAACTATGCTGGTTTGATTCCTTACAAAGGGATACGTAGGCAACCTTCGGGTTCAACCAATTGCATCTGCATTTTGTTTATTTGCCTAAGTTTTCGGCCTTGTCAAAATTAGGTCGTCTCTAGGCTTTGACATTCATTCACGTCATTTCATGACTCTGAGCTTTGTCAAAGAGGAGCAACTGTAGACACCCAATTTTTGACCGCCCTTAAGACTTGGGGGCCTCAGGTTGATTGTTCAAAGACGAAGGCAAGAAGAAGGCTATATTGTGCAAATGTACGATTTCTTCAGCAAAAGGAGCTCCAAATCCCATCCTTACACCCCATTTTTGAACCAAATGATTTTTAGACCTTAAAATCCTCTCTTTCAAAATAATTTTGAAAAAGTTTCTACGATGTTCTGAGGCTCGCATTTCATTAAATGTTACGCTTTTCGGTAAACCGAGTAAAGACAAAGTGGAAATAAGTGAAAGAGAGGTGAACTCTTTGAAAAAATCTTTAAAACATCTTGCTTAAAGGTTTGGGGTTGAAGAAAAGAGGAGAGAAGGGAAGAAAACTAGCTGAGGTGAAGTTAGGCATGAATCCGGGTAGGACCAAAACTGAGCAGTCTTTACTAAAATGAGCATAACTTTTTTCACACTTGGAATTTTGATGTGAAGCTTCCACCATTAGAAAGAAGGCTTCTGGGAGTTCAATTTAGACTCAAGAATGACCTGCAAAGGAGTCCAGATGAAGGAGATATGCCTATTTGAAGTCGGGCCCAAAAAGTAGATTTTTGTGGTCGGCCACGGATGTGGCCTGTTGGCCACCAGTGGTGGCCGGTTGGCCAGATATGTGGCTTGTCGGCCATCACTGGTGGCCTAGTCGGCCACAGGTGTCCAAAAAGCTCAGGTCTTGCAGATATTTCCCCTCTAGCTGTTCCACACTGCTCCAGATATTTCTACCTTGATATTTTCGACCAAGGCTATTGTATTTCTATATAGAGAAGGCCTTCTCTATTGTTTTGAAGGTTAGAATATTTTAGGGTTGAAGAAATTTTGAGAGCCTCTCTCTCTACAATCCTCTCTCTCTACAATTTTCTCTCTTTAGATTTCTCTCTCTCTTGCCCTTTTGTGTATACAAGTAGAGATATACTTCAAGTTTGTCTATCAACCCTTAACCAAAGTTGCTTATCTTTGGGCTAAGGTTTCTTGGGACTTGTTTTGAGCTCTAGAAGGTGATTTTAGCTTGAATTTGGCTTGAATTGTTGCCTAAATTGTGTTGTGCTTCAAGAGGTATAAGACTCACATTTAAAACTTGTTTAGCATAACTTGTTTTACCATCTTTTTATACTTGTTTTGGCCTGGTTTTCAACTACGAAAACCTCTATTTTTATGACCTAAAAATGGTGGTTTGAGGTTACTTTGTGTTAAGGGGTAGTCCACCCTTCTTGTCTCTTTGTTTGTTAAGCTTTTGTGCCATTTCTTGTCACTTTTAAACCAACTATTTTGGGGCCTTTTACCACTAATTTTTAGAGGTTTTCAGAGACTAAAAGTGTTGTTTCGAGGCCCCAAAAATAGAGGGGTTGACCACCCCTCTTCATGCTTGTTTACTAGTTCAAAAGCTCCATGTTTTAGCTTATTGTCTTAGCTTCTTTTAGCATGTTCTCCAACTGATTTTGGGCTATAAAAACTCTGTGTTTTTGGGCTGAAGCTTGGGTCCTAAGGCCATTAAAAGTTGAGGGGTTGATAGCCCTTCTTTGTACCTTGTTTTGGAGGCCTTTGCCCTTGTGTTTCCCACCCTTGCATCATCTTTTTCAGAGCTTTTAACCACTGAATTTCAGAGGTTTTTCAGTGGCAAAAACCTTCTTTTGAAGTCCAAAATTGGAGGGGTTCGCCTCCCCTCCTTGTATCTTGCTTGCATGCCTAGTTAGCTCTATGTGTTAGCATGTTTTTCTAGCTTAACTTAGTTTAATTCTAGCATGTTTTTGCCTCTGATTTGGACTGCTTTAGCTCTATTTTGGGCTGGTTAGGTCATTTGAGTCTCGTTTTGCATGGTTGTAGTAAAGGGCTTCACTAGTTTGGTGTTTTAAGCCTTTAAACATCATTTTCTTGAGTTGATTGCATGTTTTAATATTACTTTGCATGTAATTTCAGCATCTTAATCTCTACAATCTCCCTCATTTCTTCACTCTTTCATTTGTTTTAAGCTTGTTTTCAGGATCTATACCATCAAATATTGACAAACTAATGCCGCAACTGCGATATTTGTATCTCTCAGAGAACCTTTTGTATGGAACAATCCCCTCATCCATTTATACCATGAATAACTTGGAAGTACTTTCCCTTAGGACAAATCAATTATCTGGGAAGCTCCCGCAGTGTTGGAATGTGTCACAACCTTTATGGGTTGTAGACGTGGCAAACAACAATCTCTCTGGTATTGATGTTGAACGGGGGTCATCAGTTTTCTCAATATATTGATGTTGAACAATAACAACCTAGAGGGTGAAATTCCTTCTTTTTTGCAGAATTGTTCACTTTTGAGTATTGATCTTGGAGGAAATAGACTATTTGGAAAGTTACCCTCATGGATAGGGGAGACTATAACTGAAGTTTTGATGCTACGGTTGCAATCAAACTCTTTTAGCGAAATCATCCCACAACAATGGTGCAATCTTCCATATCTTCACATCTTAGATCTTGTAAACAACAACATTTCAGGGGTTATTCCCAACTGTTTACACAATTTAACTGCAATGGTTTATGATAATGACAGTATTTCATACTCAAACTTTCGCCGCAATCATCGATACATTTACGTGGAGCGAACAACTTTGGTGGCAAAAGGTAGAGAACTGAATGTGACAATATTCTTCAATATGTCAATATCATTGATCTTTCTCGAAATAATGTAATGGGTGAAATCCCTAAAGATATCACAAGTCTCACTACATTAGGAACCTTAAACCTTTTGTGGAATCAGCTAACAGGAAGCATCCTAAGAAGATTGGAAACATTAGATCGTTAGAAACACTTGATATTTCGAACAACAATCTTTCGGGACCCATTCCACAAAGCATCTCATCTTTAACCTTTTTGAGTCACTTGAATCTATCTCACAATAACTTCTCAGGAAGAATCTCATCAGGAAACCAACTCCAAACACTCAATGATTCGTCTATTTATGCAGATAATCCTTTATTATGTGGGTTTCTTCTTCCCACTAGGTGCCCGGGCGATGAAGATCATACATCTAATTCATTTTCTTCTAGTAGAGGAGGCTCAAAAGACAATGTTGCTAAGAATGATAATGAAATGTTGTGGTTCTATGTTAGCATGGGATCTGGATTCCTTGTGGGACTTTGTGGTGTTTGCTTCACTTTATGGATCAAAGTGTCATGGAGAAAAGTTTATTTTCGGTTTGTAGAGATAGCATAGTTATTGTTTATTTTCCTATGTTGGCTGTTGTGATAAGATTTTTAAGCTACATAAGATAGGTTTTTCTATATTTATTACTAAACTTGTTTCTGTTGTCACCTAAGCTTTGTAAACAGAGGCTTAACTATTGTTTATTTTCCTATGTTGGCTATTATGATAAGATTTTTAAGCTACATATGATAGGTTTTTCTATATTTATTACTAAACTTGTTTATGTTGTCACCTAAGCTTTGTATACAGAGGCATAACTATTGTTTATTTTCCTATGTTAGCTATTGTGACAAGGTTTGCAAAGTACATATGGTTATTAGTAATGTTTGTTGCTAAACTTGTTATGCTGTCAAGCTTTGTGAATAGAGGAGTTTATTTGAAATTTAAAACAACAAAAGTAAGACTTTTTATAAGATTTTTTTATTGTAATTATATATTTAAATGCATTTTTTTAGGGCACAAAATTAGTAATTAAATTTCATTTTTAAGTTTTTGTTAACATATCATTCGCAAAGACTAGAAAAACAATTTATATTTTTAGAATTGTTCTTTTTTTTTTTGTCTTTCTAAAAAAAATAATATTTTATATATAGAAAGAGTGGACAGAATATAATGATGACGGATGATAGCTTCATGAATTACTAAGCCAACTACCATGTCTAGAATGATATATTTGATTAGGTGACATACAAATTATTCAGCCATTGCCCAAAAACTAAACAAAACATTGAAAAACAATTTGCGTTGTGAGATCTATGATTTCCAATTACTATAAAATTTTTGAAAACATATTTGGAACAATGGTTTTTAATAGGCATAATCATAATCTTTATGTTTTTCAAGTTTACAAAAAAAAAAATGAAAATTATTTATAAGTCCTATTTGGAAGTCTTATTTAATGTGAAGTCCTATGAATATTCTTTTAGAGCTTGAAGTCCTATTTAAATATGAATGTGTTCCATAAGGTCCTATGAGTTGTAAATGAATGATATTAGTATGCTATTATACTCCTAATTTGTTTCCATATTGTACCTTATTTTCTCATTCATCATATCACATTTGGGAAGGCTTTTAGGAAAGACAGTCTATAGGCAACGACCGTGTGAGTTTTTTTCGCCTTGATCGCAAGATTCTAGTGCATTTTCAAAATGTTTCTTAAATAGATGTAGATATGGTCGATAATATGATAAAGTTTGAGGGTTGTGTGTTAATTCCTTCGATAGATTTTGACTCCAATCGGTTGAGGGGAAGATGTATTATTTATTTATTTATATTTTGATGTGTGTTACTGTTTGTTGAAGTGTGGACTGTTCATCTTTAATAGGGCATCGACAATATATTACACTCATTGATAGACACACTTTGGCCAATGTTCTGATTGAATGTGTGTATTTGACATTGTGATGGTTGATGCATTTTGATATATTCGATGTGTGGGGTGGTGTGTATGGGTTCAAAGGTTGGGTTGGGAGTATTTGGTTTTGGTTGTTAATTGGATGTCGAATGTGAACCACGTCGTAGGAACTCAATTATACATCGAGACCTGGATAATTGTGTTACGATGCATGTTACATTTAATGTGTAACGTTAATCCACACACAATGTAGTAGATGACATTTGTGTGTTTGTTCGGTTATATATGTGTTTGAATGTGTATCGTGCCTTTGTTATAATTAGTGTTTACATACAGTCACAGTATGTTGCACAAAATTATTGAGGTTTGGGTTTGTAATTGAATATGGATTGAATCTCATCACTCTATGTTGAAGTTACGTTAGGTTAGGAGTGATGGTGGTTCAATACATGTGTAACACTGCGAATTTTATAACATCAACCAACGCTCATAATAAGAAAAGAAGTAATCCCCCAACCTTTACATTACTTCATCATTAAGGTTTGAACAAAATAGATCCACATGCGAATTATACATTTAATGATATTAAATACATGAATCTATAGCATGTAGAACATCAAATCCAAAAATAAATAAATGTCCTCAAGGGCTTACAAATTCAAAGGCTTAAACCCAGTTACACAAAAATGGTCTCTTGAACCCATACATTTATAGCCCTTGGCTAGCAATAATACACCACAACAAAAATAAGAGCCTTATGCTCCCAACACATACATCCACACCCTAACTTGGCTGGATCACCACGTCTTTTCTTGCACCAAAATCCCATAGGGGTGAGTATAAAGCCCAGTAAGAAATTCTTAACAAAGCATAGATATTTTATACAAGCTTCACAAATTGAAATGCACATGCCATGCTACGCCTTTGAAAGAAAATCACATTTTTACATCTTTTGAAAACTATCATGCTCCATGACAACTTGAAATCTCAACAATTCAAAATTTATTAGTTTAATTCAGGGGGGGTGTGGTAAATACGACTCAGGTAATTCCTAGGTTAGTGTCTGCAAGTAGGCATAACTAGTGCTACCAAAACCTCACTTTACCGGTAGCTAACCAAAAGACACGTGGTACCTCCTTCGCGCGTGTTTTCGGTCTTTCACCTCGGACACTCAGGCCAACTTAAACAATTTCATCTACACCTCCTATCTGGACTTACCAACTTATTTACCCAAAACATTTTAATAATCTCATTTCACAATATTTCTTTCTCAATGCAAAGTTTCAAATCCCAATTCAATATTTATAACAAGCAAAGTATTGAAAGGCCAATGCAACAATTATCCATGTAATGTAATAGTTATCCATGCGATGCAATATCGTTCCATTTACAAAATTTCCACACAAATGTTCTATTTGTGATCATAATTTTCATTTTCAATTATTCCATGCAATGTTCCCATAATAATCACAACACTCATTTCTCTTTTCAATGCCATTCCCCAAAATAGCCACATATTCATCTAAATTTTTCAATGAATACGGCAAAATCTCATACTTCTTACTACTTCAACAATTTATCCATTTCATAGTTACATTACATTTTGAGCAACAACTTCCCAAAATCAACAATTCTCATATTCCAAGAAAATTTACCATTTGCTAAGTAAAACAAGAGATTTTTCAATCATTCTTTCATCTTAACATGGTGATAAATAAACACCCACAAATTTCCAACATCTTTCACAAAATCTCAAATTTCTAGGTTTTTGCCAAAACTCAACATTTTTCCATCTTTCCAAAGAAAACTTTTCCCCAAAGCATCCTTCCCCATAATGTAGTCAAGTTCTCTTGTATTTTAAGAAAAACAAGGTGTAAACCCATTTTTGAAATCATCACAACACATAAACCAAAACCAAGGTTCCTATACTACCCAAAAGAGTTCCAAATCAACATAATCTTGCAAAAATATGTATATATAACTCTAAGAAACTCCCTACCTCAAGTTTTGAAGAAGAAGAGATGAGAAACCCCCAAATTTGACGATGTGGAAATCCAACCTCCACTGCACAAGATGAAGCCCTCGGTTAGCTCTCTAACTTTGATGAAGAAGGTTGGATCAAAACTCCAATGGATCTAAAGAGATCAAGGATTTGATCTTGTTTAATGTAGGAAATGTAGAGAGAATGGAGAGAAAAGAGTTTTTTAGAGAGAGAGAGACAGACATAACAAAAGTGAGATACATTCAGCCCACATAGAAGAAAATGCCAAATTTTCAGACTCACCTACCACCGCACGTGTGCCACCCATGCCCACACGTGTGGAGCGTGCCCTCCGCACGTGCAGCCTTCTCTTTCCCGTACCTGCTACCCTACGTGCATTTATTTTAGTATGCAGCCAGGTCACACTCTATTTTCCACACGTGCGGCCTCTCCTCCCGCACATATGGCCCCCCTTCTGTACGTGCGGCCCTGGTCCTCCAGCCCAGAAAATTCTCAGCTCAACTCCAGACCCGACTCTCACCTTCCGAAATAAGAGAAAACTCAGAATTTAAACAAATAAGAACGAAAATTTTGAGGAGAAGTTTTCAAAAACAACAAACCCAACTGTTGACAGGACCAACTTTAAAACTTGACCCTTTAATGAAAGTAAATCCAACATAACTCAAGAGAACGAGGCGAATTACGTACCGATCATCACAACCTCCTCACCATAGGAAATTTCGTTCTCGAAATTAAATCAAACTACCCAAACAAACGGTTTCAAGTGATCAAAATCACGCTATTTCATTTTCAAATTATAACTTTAGTTCTCAGCCAAATCTTACCATTATCATTATAGTTACCTCATTAACAACAACCATCCAAAGAAATCATACGCATGAAGTTTTCCAATAAAAGTAATAATAACCTACAACAACCTCAAGCTTGAAACAATAATATACACAACAAGACGTCGCTAACAATTTTTAACACATTTCCCTCAAACACTAGAGAATAATACAAATTAAACAATTAAGCATTTTCAAATAAATCTGAATACTTGGAGCGGACTTCCGCCTCCCGTTCCCGCGTTGCTTCCTCAACCCCATGGTGTCTCCACAACACCTTTACCAAAGGTATAGTTTTAACCCGTAGTACGTGCTCCTAGGTATCTAGTATTTGAACCAGTCGCTCTTCGTAAGAGGCATCGTCATCTACCTCCAAATCAACCCAATCAAGCACATGAGAAGGGTCGGGCTCATACTTTTTAAGCATAGATACATGAAACACATTGTGAACCCCCGAAAGTTGTGGTGGTAAAGCTAACCGGTATGCCACCTCCCCAATTCTCTCTAATATCTCAAAAGGCCCAATGAACCTCGGAGACAATTTATCACTCTTACCAAATCTCATTAAACCCCGTCTTGGTGAGATCTTAAAGAATACGTGGTCACCAACTTCGAAAGATAAAGGTCGTCTCCTCTTGTCAGCATAACTCTTTTGTCAGCTTTGGGCCGTAGCTAACTTCTTCCGAATGAGAGCAACTTTCTCGGTTGTCTCTCTAACAATTTTTGGACCCAACAACGGTGCATCACCCACCTCGGCCCAACAAACCGGTGATCTACAAGGTCGGCCATACAAGGCCTCAAATGGTGCCATCTCAATACTAGCTTGGTAACTATTGTTATAGACAAACTCAATCAATGGTAAGTGCCTCTCCCAAGACCCCTTAAAATCAAGGACGCAAGCTCTAAGCATGTCCTCCAAAATTTGAATAGTACGCTCCGACTGTCCGTCGGTTTGAGGGTGGTACGCAATGCTAAAGGTTAACTTAGGTCCCAACGCCTCTTGAAGGTTTTGCCACAACCGAGTAGTAAAACGAGGATCTCTATCTGATATAATGGTTACAAGTCAAACTATCTCTCTAATGTACAACTCTGCCAAGTGCTCAACTGAGTCGCCGGTGCATATCAGAATGAAATATGTAGAATTAGTCAACCTATCAACAATCACCCAAACGGCATCATTACCTCACTGTGTTCTAGGAAGCCCAACTACAAAATCCATAGTAACGTGCTCCTGTTTCCACTCGGCTATCAGTAATGGTTGTAGCAAACTCACTGGTCTTTGGTGTTCGGCCTTCACTTATTAACAAGTAAGACACTTCGATACAAATAAAGCGACATCCTGTTTCATACCCCTCCACTAAAACTGACGGCTAAGATCATGATACATTTTGGTGCCTCCCGGATGTACCGCAAGGCATAAGTGATGGAATTCCTGAAGTACGTCATCTCTATAAGATTCTGGTACAAACAAACGGTCTAGATAACGTACACTCAGATCCGAGTGAATGTTCAAGCCCCTCTCTTTTTTCCCATTGGAAATCCTATTTTAGATTGACTCCACTTCACGGTCCCCTTGTTGTGCCTCTATGACTTTACTAATCAAGGTAGGTTGAGCACTCAAAGTAAACAAGGTTGCACTATCACCAGACTCATCCAAGTGCAAATTAAACTTGCCGATATCACCTAGCATAACCCATTCCCGAATGGCAACACTTGCCAAACTACTTACTGATTTTCCACTCAAAGCATCGACCACTACATTGGCCTTTCCCAGATGATAGTGTAACTCAAAGTCATAATTCTTCATAAATTCCATCCACCTCCATTGGCGTAAATTCAAGTCTTTTTGGGAAAACAAATACTTTAGACTTATATGATCGGAGAAAACCTCAAACTTCTCGCCATACAAGTAATGTCTCCAAATTTTCAAGGCAAAAATTATAGCTGCTAATTCCAAATCATGGATGGGGTAGTTCTTCTCATGAATTTTCAATTGTCGTGAATCATAGGCCACAACCTTTCCCCCTTGCATCATGACACAACCAAGCCCATCCCGAGATGCATCACAATAAATGGTGTAACCCAAACTGCTTTCTGGAATTATCAAGACCGGTACGATAGTCAATCTAGTCTTAAGTTCTTGACACAAATTTGACACCCTTTCTAGTCAACCTAGTCAAGGGTGCAGCTAGTCTAGAGAAGTCCCTTACAAAATGTCGATAATATCTCGCTAATCCCAGGAAACTCCGGATCTCAAAGACATTTTTAGGTTGTTCCCAATCCTGCACGGCATCTATCTTCGAGGAGTCTACAGTTACTCCTTCTCTTAACACCACATGCCCCAAAAACTTCATATCAGTTAGCCAAAACTCGCATTTCTCAAATTTAGCATACAATCGGTGCTCCCTAAGCAAATCCAGCACTACTCGCAAGTGAGCCTCGTGTTCCTCATCTGAGGTTGAATAAATTAGGATGTCGTCCACAAAAACGACCACAAAACGATCTAAGTATTCTCAAAAAATCCGGTTTATCAAATCCATAAAGGAAGCCGGCACATTAGTCAACTCAAAAGGCATCACAACGAATTCATAGTGGCCATAACGCGTACGAAAGGCTATTTTCTGGATGTCCTCCTCCAAACTCTCAAACTAATGATACCCCGACCTCAAAGGTATCTTTGAAAATCAGCGAGACCCTCTAAGTTGGTCAAACAAATCATCTATTCTGGGTAGAGGATACTGGTTTTTAATGGTAACCCGGTTCAACTTGCGGTAATCAATATATAACCGCAATGATCTGTCCTTCTTCTTCACAAAGAGAGCGGGCGCTCTCTAAGGCGATGTACTATGCCGAATGAAGTCCTTGTCTAAAAGCTTTTGGAGTTGAATCTTCAACTCATGCAGTTCAGTGGGTGTAAATCTATACGGCGCCATGGAAATCGGTGTCGTGCCAGGCACTAAGTCAATGGAGTACTTGATCTCCCGGTGGGGTGGCAAACTAGTGAGATCCTCGGGAAAAACATCCAGGTACTTGCAAACTACCCTTGGCAATTCAACACAGGTCCCGTCACTCTCATTATCCAAGAGAGTTGCGAGAAGGCCTCTAAGCTTGCTCCTACTACAAGGGTCAAAAACTGGTGACAAGACCCTATTAACCCGGTCCCCCAGAAAATAAAAACAATCACCACTCGAGGTGCACACTGTAACTCTCTGACGGTAACAATCAATCACAGCTCGGTACGAAGATAACCAATCTATGCCTAGAATAACATCAAAACTCAACATGTCTAGCAATACAAAAGCAAACGAAAGTCTACGCCTGGCAACCTCTATCTCACAACCACAACACCCCCGGTCTAAGTCAACCGTACCCCCAATTGGTGACTCTACTTTGAGCGGAGACGCTAACCGTGCCACCTCTAACCCCAATACAGAAGCAAATGCGGCAGACATGAATGAATGAGACACACCCGTATCTATTAACACATTAGCCAAAGAATTACACACAACAAAAATACCTCTCACAGCTGAGGATCCTGGTAGTTGCTCTGGCACGGTAACAATATACACGCGCCCCTGTGGCCTCTAATCAACTTACTCATCTCTTAGAGCATAGGCCTGTTGCACTAACTGAGCCAAAGTGGCTCCTTGATTAGCTTGGGAAATCTGAACTGAGTGAGTTTGCTGGTGGCTCTGAGTCTGTATCGACCCTGATACGCCAGATGTTCCTTCTAACTGCGAGCAAGCTCTCTTCATATACCCCGACTAACCACACTAAAAGCAAGTAAGTCCTTGTCTTCTATTCTGAGACTGACTCTGGGATCGGTTAGGTGGTGGTGGTGGTGGCACCAACATCTATTGTCCTTCCCCTTTTTATGGACATGAAAAGACCTTGTGACCCGGTTGGCCACACTTGAAGCATGAGAAACAACTTGGTGCACTCTTTCAGGGGCCCGCACTAGGCAAGGGAAAGGTAGATCTAGACTGTTGAGACTGGGATTAGGATGGAAAGGTTCCCCTATTCTTCTTACTAGGTCTAAAATCTCCTTGTGACTCGTGGCCTCTAGACCTTGAACCCCAAATTCTTTCCTCCACGACTTGTACTGTAATCTACACATGTGCTACCGCCTCCACAAGACGGTCATAGTTCCGGATCATGTTCCCGGCAACCTTGAACAAAATCTTGGTTCTTAACTTCTTCTCAAACTCAATGTAACGACGCCGTTCTTCCGTTGCCACCAACTCCGGTGCAAACCAGGACAAACTAGAAAAGGTCGCCTCAAACTCGGCCACGGACATATAGAGTTACTTGAGGTCTTGAAATTCTTGCCTCAACCTCTCCCTAGCAGTGGGAGATAGATACTTATCTTGGAAAACAACCACAAAAGCTTTCCACGTCGGCTCTACCCTACCCTTGGCGTACTTCCACCATTGGCCCGTATCCCCCTTGAGATAGTAACTCACTAGAGTCACCCTTAGCTCGCTATCCTCAATGTGAAGCATCTCAAATGTCTTCACTGTTTGCTTAAGCCACTCATCCGCTTTCTTGGGTTCGGGGCCACCAAGAAACTCATCTAGCTTGGCCCGCAAAAATTCCCTAGTGAGAAAACTCGCCCTTGTCTCTATGGCGTTCTTTTGAGCTTGTGTCACACCCCAAAATTTAGACAATTAAATATTAAATTAGGACTAAACCTCAATCAATATTCCATCATCCAAATCCTATGGGTGAAACCAAAAAAAGCTAAACGCCAACCAAACCATCCACCATAATTTCATAACTATCTAATACCTCAAACATTAAAGTAACAATAACTAGTCAAAACAACTTAAATAATGTAAAGTTACATACCATGCCAAATTATCAAAATACTAAGGTCATAAAAAAAAAATATTAAATACATAAACTAATATCAATCTTAAGCTCAAGATACAAAAGAAGTCCAAACGACATGTCCAACAACTATAGTTATACTACGTCACTACCGTAACCCCAACTAATCCTGCAAAAAAAGCTCGGCTGCACTCAAATAGAACACACTTGAGTTGCCAAGACACAAAACGGGTCAGTATACAGGTAGACTGGCATGAGTACAAGATTTAACACCCACGTATCCACCAGACACAAACAAAAATACATTTAATTCTTGTTACAGGACAAGACAAGTAGTTCCGCTCTTTAGGCGCCATTCTGTATGCCCTTTTAGAAATCGGTGCAGTTCTCGGCACTAGGTCAATGTGAAATTCTACTACCCGTCGAGGTGGAGGTTTAGGTATCTCCTGAAATACATCCTTAAACTCACACACCACATCTACCTCACTAATATCCTGCTTAGGGATTTCTACCGAGCATAGAAAACTCATCATCATCGACTCTTCTCCATCACTAGAACTGTGGGTAAGCTGTGGTATACCGGGAATATCTATATTTATAGTCCTTCCAGCACAATCTAGAGTCACAAAGTGTTTTTGCAGCCAATCCATACCCAATATAATTACAAACCCTAACACAATTCACACTATACCAATAAATTCATAATTAAATTCATTGTACCTTAACTCCACCACTTCGGCCCTTCACTTCCAGCTTACACATATATCCCATGTGCTTCCCGTATACCTAACACCGCTCCGAAGCCAAACTTGCATAGGGATATCGTCCCGAGTTTGACTCACACTCTCCGGATGGTTAGCATATACGTACGCACGTAAATCAAAGAAATCGTCTACTCATGAGAACGAGGCAACAATCAATATATACAAAACATTTCACTCATGAGAACAAACATAACAATGCCAAGCCTAAGGCATTCAAATAAATCTCATAATCCTCACTTTTTTTTATATACTCTTTCTCACCAACACTCAAATAAAACAACAATCCATGGAGTCATGGTGGAGTATAAGGAATTTATCTATGAGTTCTAAGTTTATTTTAATTTCATATATCCATGAGTGTGATTACAACCATAAAATAAATCCATATAAAAACCCTACATCTTACATACACAACTAATCAAAATAATTAAAATTAATCAATCATCTAAAAACCCTAAACCTTACATATACAACTAATCAAAATAATTAAAATTAATCAATCATCTAAAAACCCTAAACCTTACATACACAACTAATCAAAATAATTAAAATCGATCATTCATCTACATGCAAATATGAAATCAATTCAACATCAAATAAATATAAATAAATAAATAAAAACAACGAATTAAATATAAATCAAGGAAAGTGGGTTTTATATTCAATATTTTTTTGAAGATCAAAGCATTATTTGAAGAACTAATCGAGCCACCCAAACAAAATCCTAATCTTGTTTTTTTCTTTTCTCTCCTCTCTCCCAGTGTTCCTCTTTCTCTCGGCTTTCTTGGTTTTCTTCTCTCTTTCTCTCTCTCTCTCCCTTTCTCTCCCTCCTATGGCTGTTGTTGATGAAAACACTCCCACAAAAAGTAATTAAACCTAGGTCTAGTATAGTATATATAATTGACTATTATATTTATATCTTACACATATAACATAAATACAATATACATAAATATGATATATATTTTATCAATATATAAACACTTTTTTTTATATAAACAATATAAATATATCAATATTCGGATTAATTACCTATAATTAAATAACACATTTAAATTAATTAAATAACACATTAAATTAATTAAATACCACATTAAATTCTCATGTAACCACATAATTAATAAAGTCAAAAATAAAATAAAGTAGTAATAACAATAATAAATAATGACTTAAGAAAATTAGGGTTGTTACAATATACACACCTCAAAAGAATCTCATCCTGAGATTCGATAGGAAAGAGTACTAAACAAAAAGTTCCGAGTGCATACGCCGAACTTTCTCTTCTAACTCCCAAGTGATATCATTCTCATCCTCGATCCATTACACTTTCACCAAGTTCACTTTGTTGCGCAACTGCTTTACATCTCGGTCTAGAATAGTAATTGATCGCACCACATACGTTAATACCTGGGAAAGGTCTTACACACACTTCCGCAATAAAGATACATGGAATACGTTGTGAATCATAGCTAAGGCAGGTGGTAGAGCTAATTTGTAAGCCACATTACCAATCCTCTCAGTGATCTCATATGGTCCCACAAATCTAGGTGCCAACTTTCCCTTTTTTTCGAACCGCATGATACCCTTCATCGGTGAGACCTTCAAAAACACAAAATCTCCAACAGTCAACTCAACCCCCTTACGTTTTCTATCAGCGTAACTCTTCTGGCGACTCTGTGCAGTCTTAATATGTTCCTGAATAATATTCACTTTCTCCGTGGTCTCTCTCACCAACTTTGGCTATAACAATGGCGCATCTCCTATCCCCATTTAACAAGCAGGTGATCGACATAGCCTTCCATACAAAGCCTCAAAAGGTGCCATCCCGATATTGGAGTGATAACTATTATTACAAGCAAATTCGACCAATGGCAAGTGTTCTACTACCACCAAGATCGAGGACACAAGCTCTCAACATATCCTCAAAGATCTGATTTACCTGCTCAGTTTGCCCATCCGTCTAAGGATGATAAGCCGTGCTCAGGTCTAATCTAGCACCCAAAGCATGCTGAAAGCTCTCCTAAAACTCTGCTACAAACAAAGGATCACGATCCGAAACTATAGAAACTGGTACGCCATGAAGTCGCACCACCTCCCAAATATACAGCCTAGCTAGTTTATCCGTAGTTCGGTGAACACTAATAGAAATAAAATGAGCAGACTTGGTGAGTCGATCCATTATTACCCAAATAGATTCATTGCTTCGCTTAGACCGCGGCAATCCATCCACGAAATCCATAGAGATGTACTCTCATTTCCAAGTAGGGATCTCGAGAGGCTGCAAAAGTCCAAACAGTCATTGGTATTCTGCCTCAACCTGTTTGCACACATAACATCGAGAAACATACTCTCCTACGTCTTTCTTTATACCTTCCCACCAAAACGTCCTCTTCAGGTCATGATACATCTTAGTCCCATCAGGGTGAATGGTATATTGGGACCTATGGGCATCATCCATAATCTCTTTCCTCAATTCAACAATGTTAGGTACACATAACCTGTCCCTGAATCGCAATCCCCCATCTGAGTCCACAAACTAGTCAGTAGGACAATCATCGATCAAATCCTCTACAAGGTCATCGAGCTTGCTGACGAGAAACCCATCTAAATCCTACATTTGATGAACTTTACCCAGTAACATCAACTGCACGGTCAAACTACCAATGTATGCCCTCTCAACACTCTCTATTGGTTAAACATCATACATCGAAATTAACTCCAAGGACTTCCATTCCTGAATCATCAAAGACGCTATAACCCTATGTTGTCGACTAAGTGCATTTGCGACCACATTTCCTTTCCCCGGGTGGTAAAAGATCTCGAAATCATAACTACTGACGAATTCAACCCACCTCTGTTGCCTCATGTTCAACTCTTTTTGAGAAAAAAAGATATTTGAGGCTTTTGTGATCTGTGTACAACTCAAAGCGCTCCCCAAACAAGTAGTGTCGCCACACTTTCAACACAAAATAATTGCTGCCAACTCTAAGTCATGAGTAGGGTATCGTCTCTCATGAGGTTTTAACTGTCGAGAAGTATAAGATACAACCTTCTAATGCTGCATCAACACACATCCCAACCCAGTTCCACTCGTATCAGTAAACACTACGAACTTTTCCCCTTGTACTGGTATAGTTAATACCAGTGCCATAGTCAAACGC